ATATAAATCATATATATATAAATCATAAAATGCCCACATACAGCAGGAAACATAAAGCTGTTAAATGACCATACAGCTTCATAATTACAAAACAGATGCTAGAGAAGTAGTACACTGTCAGAAATCTGTCAGCCTTGCCCTTTATCGCTCACTCATGAACTAATTAGGTAATAAAAATCATTAGCAGATCTATTTTTGAACGCCTGGCTTTGTCAGTATTCTCCTACAGACGGATATATGAAACCGTTCTCTTTCACATCTGTATTCCCACTTTAAACCCTGGTCATTTAATTACCCTGGAACAGGTACAGACACAGTCACGAGAAGGGCTTTTTCCATTCCCTTCAGTCTTTCATAAACCACCTCTCTGTTATAACATTTTATCCTTCACTTAAAGTTGAGCTACAAGACACTTCAGAGACTTAGGACAAAAACAAACTGGTCACCATGGAGGTCAAATGTTGGGCTCAGTTTCCTCCATTTACTATCTGTGTCACTTCCTTTAACCAAAACATTAGTGTTTTAAGGAAATGCGTTGTGCGAGTTCTGATAGTCTGGTTAAAGGAACAGTGTGTGAAGTCTGTGTTGGCTTCTATTCTGTTTTAACCATAAACCCAACAGGTAGATGTGCAGCTTCTCTACAGTACGTGGTGTGACAGTAACATTTCCTGTTATTGTGATAATGTGTAACATTCTCACAGACACATACACTCCTACTAGTTGATGAATTGTTGTATTGATGTATTGTAGCAGACTTACATTTGGGGAAGTACAGAATTACAGTTTATTTTGACTCTCCTTCACTTTCTTTCACTCACACTTACTCCCCTCGTCCCTTTTTCATGTACATTTAAATCTTATAAATAAATAATTTCATCTTACCGGCCTTTCATTCCTCTTCTAAACCTCTGGTCCCGTCGTGACATCCTCTCGTACCAGCCCAGCGACACAGATTTCTACACACAATCCCAACAGTCCAGCCAGTTCAGAAAAGAGAAAGCGTCAACTGCATTTATTTCTGACCAAATCATGAGGTGTTGTCCTTTCTCTTGTCCTCTCTCTCTCACATACACACACACACACCATGTGCTTCAGGGCTTCCTGTGTGTGTGCGTGTGTTTCCTCTCTGATGATGTGAAGCGAAGTTAAGTAAAAAAAAGACTGAACCACTGGCACCAGCGGGTAGCAGAGAAATAATCCGATCCCAGTGCAGAAGATCTGCCCCTCCCTTCCTCTGCTCTTCCTTTCAGCATGTAGACTTGTGCAAGATACAGTTACACTCCTCTGGTGACTTTACATGGGTCACAGTGTGTGTGTGAACCCTGTTAGTGTGTGCTTTTCATGTGGTGTGACAGAGTCAGCGATTCAGTCGTTTCAGTCTCCTGAAATTTGCATCTGCGTTTCAGTCAGCAGAGGCCTAAGCTAAAACAAATAACAGCAAATGATGGAATATCAATTTGTGGAAATATGTTAAGAAAAGAATGCAAAGGTGTTATTCCAATTTAGTTCTTTGAGTTGGTGGAACTTTGTCATTACTGTGCTTGTTGATGGTGGATTCCAGAACATGTCTGGAGTTCCTAAAATTTAGAACAGATTATTTAGAAAGTTTGTGCTGTTGCTCAATTATGGGGTTAGGCCTTTTCAGTGTCTTCTGTGATATTGATAATAGTAGTAATGGAAATAAAAAATGCTAAATGTTAATGAAGTTAGTAGTTACACAACTAAGTTTGAAGCTTCACTTTTCCAGAGTATGGGTAAGTGTAGAAATATATATATATATATATATATATATAAAAACAGCAAAGCAGTTTTTGGTTTAGTCTTTATTTTAGAGAGCGTTGTCAGAAAGTGTACAACAGTGCACCAATTTCTTCATAGGCCTCACAAAAAAAACAGATATTTCAAAACATTTTCAGCTGAAGATGAGATTCAGTTACACTGTTTGATCTGGATTTCTCAGAAGTGACAGTATAGTTGAGCAAATACTCAGGAACAACAAAGAAAACAAAGCACCTATATTTACCACAAACACACTCAAAAATATGCAAAACATTCAATGATGTATTTATTTAACTTTGTAAAATATGACTGAATGGATAAAGAACTTTGCTGTTTTCTGCTTTTTGTCAGCATAACTTAGAGTAAACAAGTACACGTGAATCATTTCCAACAGTGTTAAAGAAAGCAAATCAAAAAACAGCACATTTTAAAATATAAGCCAAGTCAGAAGATGATAGCAATATTTTGATGTCAACACAGATTGGTGCCGTGCGGCTGTAAATGATTATCTTTGGATTATTTTTCATGAGAGATTTTGGACCTCTGCACGTTCTGAGGCCTGAACATATGAACACAACTGCTTTTCAAGGATCAGTTAATGACTGGTCAAAAGAAATCTACACTCAGTCACTTTTGTTCACAGTTCCCCAAAATAGCAGCCACATCTGTTTCTGTCTCAGATTATATATGTGAGTTGCACTTTGATCTACAACCTTTACTAACAGTTCAGTAATGAAACGTCCAGACTGACTGGATACAAATGAAGGAGATACAAAAGCACAGCAACACCCTGAAGGACTTTCCTGAGGGAGTTTTTGGTCTTCATGTAACATCCAATTTATCAACAACAACAACAACAACAAGCAAAAACTGTATTATAGAACAGCCTGGTCATAAAATGATAAAGAAGTTGGTTTATGTCAGTGGTTCTCAGTCTGATGATCAGGATCCCCTGAGAATCACTATACGATTCCACACACACACACACACACACAATGTGTTCTTTTTTTTTTTTTGGTCAAGTTGTTAATTTTTATCATTTTTTTAACAGTGTCATATCAAAAAGAAAACATAAAAAATGTACAGCACTAATTGCCTTTTCTCTAAGGAATCAAGAATCCTAACAGGCTGAGAACCTCTACTCTTTCTTCTTAAAGAGAGCCTTTTATAAAATCTAAGCAAATGAAAAGGTAACATGTATTGTGCTGAAGCTTTGGCTTCTATGGCAGTTTAGACAATTACCATCTGGGAACATGCAGTAGCACCACTGTTGTTTTAATGAGGTCACTTCCTATCCTTTGGTCACTCACTTCCTCCTTCGACCGGCACCTAATAACAAAGAACAAAGAAAATGAGTTTCTCTATGTAGAATGTGAGCGTTCTGCTGTTAGATATCACAACAGGACGTTTTATTTTATGTGCAGTGTCATTTGAGTTTAAATGAAGTGATTATTTATATAGATGACCTAATGACCCCCAGAAGTCCCACCTCTATAGCTGCCAGATCCTAGTAAGGCTTGCATTGCTGCATATTTGGCTGCCTTCTGTGCCTTAGCTACAAGAGACAGACAGGTAAAATTAGAAGGATTTGCAAATAATCACAGACTTGATGACTTTCCATTATTTCCAACACATAAAAACAAACATAATATTGGCTGAATATTTCTTACATTTTTGTCCAGCTCCTGCGTAACCTGAACAGCAGGAGAAGAAAACAATGATCACTGCAGCAGTGAAATATTTCACAATATGATTGAAATTTGTTGGCTTTTATGTTTTTCTCATTCAATGCATAAAGAGTACTTACCAGGATATATTGCACCAGTCCCACCATAGCCAAGGCCGACACCCCCTACAGGACAGAGAATATATTGCTGTCTCAAAGCAAGTCTCTGAGCTACTTGGTCTTAATTTATGTAATGGTTGTCGAACAAGCACATAATGATGGATTATGTAGGATTCAGTCAGGTACCTTGCAAGCCACCTGCTCCTGCAGGGCCTCCTGCTCCTACAGGGCCTCCTGCTCCTACAGGGCCTCCTGCTCCTCCGACTCCTCCTGCTATACTGCCTTAACACGTAAGTGAGGGCAAACATAAATAGAATAAATATGTTGAATTTATAATCAATTTACAATCAAAGTTTTATACATTAATTGATTACTACTTAGTACCTGGATATCTTCCTGAAGTTGTTCCACCATAACCAGGACCAACGCCCCCTGCTGTAACAATGAAGATATTACAGTCTCAATTCACAGGTCTAAATTCTTTAAATGTGTTATAAACCTCCAACTATTTTAATCCAAGTAAATAGACAGACACTTTACCTGGTAAGCCACCTGCTCCTCCTGTTCCCTGACCAGTTCCTACAAGACCTCCTCTTCCTGCTGTTCCCCCCATTCCTCCTGCTCCATCAAACGAACAACATTTACAGTAGATATTAGTTGAACACACGAAATCTATTATTCTGTTGAGTAATATTTAGTAATGCAGATAATATTCCTGTTTGTTTGCAGATTAGATCATCTCTGCCCCTTTGTGTCCTAACCCTTTAATACAGTATTTTCTTTCTCATTTTCTTTGTTTATGAAGTAGTAGCTTACCTGTGCCAGCTCCACTGATCCCTCCTGTGGCTGCACCAGGAATTACTCCTCCACTACCTATTGAACACCCATGTGACATTAATTTGATTACTCCAGAGTACAACTCCAGAGTAAAGGTAAAGTGTTTTACCTATTCACTAATTATTTGTAATTATAATATGCAGCAGAACCTATTATCACCTGGTCCATATCCGGTTCCTCCCAGTTGAGAGCCATAACCAGACTTAGAGGGCTTCCTTTTCCCAATGACTTGTCCAGTGGCTCCAAAGATGCCAGCTCCACTGCCACCTGAACCAGTGCCAACACCACCTGGTCCATAACCACCTTGCCCAAAACCACCAGCTCCAGTGCCACCTGGCCCAAAACCACCAGGTCCAGCACCACCTGGCCCAGTGCCACCGGGACCAAAACCACCAGGTCCAGTGCCACCAGGTAGAGCAACACCGGTCCCCGTACCACCAGGTCCATAACCCGTTTGGCCTGCTCCAGTTCCACCAGGACCATAGCCTCCAGCACCGTAGCCTCTAGATGCAGCACCAACTCCACCTGTCCCCACTCCTGCACCTCCTCCTAGTCCTCCAGCTGTAAAACAGTAGAGCGTATGTGTAGTATTTTGAATGATAAAAAGTAGATATTACATTAGTAATTGAATCCAAACCTCACCTGAGCCATAGCCCGTTCCTCCATAACCTGTAAACAAATGAAAGCTCTCAAAACAACGTCTCATCACTTTCTTCAAAATAATTTATCATTCATTGTTTAATTGATCCATGCTTACCAGATTTATAAGGTTTCCTTTTCGCCAAGCCTTGTCCAGCACCACGTGGCCCAAAGCCCCCTGGTCCAGTACCTACACCACCTGGCCCATAGCCCCCTGGTCCAGTACCAGCACCTCCTGGCCCATAGCCCCCTGGTCCAGTACCAGCACCTCCTGGTCCAAATCCGCCTGGTCCAGTGCCAGCACCTCCTGGTCCAAATCCACCTGGTCCCGTGCCTATACCACCAACCTCCTGGTCCAAATCCACTGGTCCAAATCCACCTGGTCCAGTGCCAGCACCTCCTGGTCCAAATCCACCTGGTCCCGTGCCTATACCACCAGGTCCAAAGCCCCCTGGTCCAGTACCAGCACCTCCTGGTCCAAAGCCCCCTGGTCCAGTTCCAGCACCTCCAGGTCCAAAGCCCCCTGGTCCAGTTCCAGCACCTCCAGGTCCGAATCTTCCAGGCCCAGTACCTTTATACAACATATGCCGTTCTCTATAAAACGAACAGGCTTGATTTAACATAAAGGTCAGTATCTTAAGTTTTTTACCTTGTGAGGTTCCAAGTGGTAACGATCCATATCCTGTCAAAATGAAGACAAAATTCATCATAAACTTGAATAGATAATTCTTGATGTTTTTATGATATATTGAGGGTAAAAGTACCTGGTTTAGGTGGTTTTCTCTGCCCAAGTTCTTGACCTCCAGGAGTGTATATCCCTGCACCACCAGGTCCATAGCTACCTGGTCCTGCTCCTGTACCACCCGGTCCAAAACCACCTGATGTGGTTCCCGTACCACCCACACCTGTCCCAGCATATCCACCAGGTCCATAACCACCAGCACCAGGGCCAAAACCAGGGCCAAAAGATCCTTGAGCAGAACCAATTCCACCTGGTCCAGTTCCATACCCACCTGGTCCAACTTGAGAACCACCAGGCCTTGTTCCATAACCTATTAGAAGAAAATGTTCAGTAAATGTTTTTTACATAAATGTTGTATCTAAATCTCTAGAAACATTAAGCATACTTTTTGGTGGTTTGACAGAGCCAGTGCCCAAACCAGAACCTGCACCATAACCTGAACCTGCAAGAAAGTAAACACGTAAAATGAAATGCAAAATAATTATATTTTTTGCAAATCTGAACTTTTCAGTATTATAATGATACCGTAACTTACCACCAGGAGCCACACCACCAGCATAACCCCCAGGTCCGACTCCACCAGGGCCTACTCCAACACCTCCACCTAAACCTCCTGGACCAGTACCAGTTCCCAGTGTTCCTGTGCTTCCAGGGCCAGTACCACCACCGACACCTCTGCCTCCATAGCCTCCAGGTCCAGCTCCATAGCCTCCAGGACCAGTACCAAAGCCTCCTGGTCCTGCGCCACCAGGGCCGACTAGATACCCTCCAGGTCCAACTATAAGCTGGCCTCCACCTCCCAGAATTCCATATGCTGGTAGAGTAAATGAATTAGTCTTCTGTCACTGTTACAGTATAGTTTTACAAAGGAGAACATTAAAAGAACCTTTTCCTGGTTTTCCAGTTCCCTGTCCAACTCCTGCTCCAGTCGGGTACCGTAAAGCTGACAAAGACACATTTTGTTTTACATTTAGTTTTTAGACATTTAGTTGTATTGCAAACAATGGGTAAGTAAGCATACCTCCACCTGGTAGAACTCCAGCACCGTAGCCTGGAGATACAAATTTACAGATCATTATGGAATGATCATCATCTCACGTAGCGATGGAATCAACTTTTTCAAAGCTACCTACTTTTTCCAGGTTTATAAGATTGAGTTCCAAGTCCACCTGGTACCACACCTGCTCCTCCGGGACCTCCTCCAACACCTCTGGAAGCAGTTCCAGTTGCAGCACCACCAGGTCCAGCTCCAACCACGGTACCATTGGATCCTAGTGCTAATTAAAAAAGAATTGGTTTTTAGGTGTGTCCACATCCCATTTTTAAAATGATGAAA